AAAACTGTGGACCACCATCACTAACAAATATTTCCGGAATTCCATTAAGACTAAAAATACGTTTTAAATTATTAATTATATTTTCACTAGTTGTACTGTTTAGTAATGAAAGTTCTGTCAATTTAGAAAAGTAATCAACAATCAGCAAATGCAAACCTCGTATGGTATCAGTGTTTCTTTCCTATTATTATGACTATAAAGTTTGCAAATGTCACAAGAAGAAACCAAATTATGAATATCGTTATATATACCTGGCCAATAAAGACAGTCTCGTGCCTTAGTAAAGGTTTTGTAGCACCTAAATGTGGAATGTATAAACGTTCTAGTATTTCTCACCTTAACCCTACAGGAATCACAACACTGTTTCCTTAAAATACAATATCAGATTTCAAAGTTAAATTATTTCTATCAGGTCAATATTTTTCACTTATTTTGGTAGAATTTTTTTATGAAATGGCCATCAGCTATGTATTCAGCTGTTGCGGAGAATTGCTTAATATTATTTAATTGTGATCCTGATGCATTAATACTGTTTACTTCAATCTCTTCAGTATCATGTCAATTTTGAGAGAATCACTAATATCAAATGACCTTGACAAAGTGTCAGCTAAATATAATTCTTTACTACGTTTATTAATTAAATCAAAGGTATATTTTTGCAATTTAAGTAACATTCGGTGTATACGTGCACTACATGTTTTAATTGGTTTTTAACCATAGCAATTAGAGGAGAATGGGCTGTTTCGATTATTATTTTTCTACCAAATATAAATTGATTGAACTTTTCACAACCAAATAAAATAGCAAGAAGCTCTTTTTCAATTTGTGCTTATCTTTTTTGACATTTATTTAAAGCTTTAGAAGTATATGCCACAGGAAGGTTATTTTCTAGTAAAACCACTCCAAGACCATCTTTTGACGCATCTACAGAAAGTATTACAGGAAGAACTTCATTAAAAAAATGAAGAACTGGCTCTGGATTCTTTTCTTCAGAAGATATCTTAAACGAGAACTCATATCAGCAAAATTAGAAATAAATTTGGAAACATAATTTACAACACCTAAAAAACTTTGTAACTCCTTCCTATCTTGAGGACTTTTTATTGCGATAATTGATTTGACATTCTATTCATCCAACTTTATCCCGTCTTTACTAATTATATGGCCTAAATATTAAACTTCAGACAAGTTGAATTTTCATTTATTTTTATATAATTTATCATTTTCATGTCTTAAACGGTGTAAAACTAACCGTAACCCTCTATCATTATCTAATTGATATTTTCCGCAAATTAAAATATCATCAATAAAAACCTCAGACCCTTCTAAATTTTCTAATATCTCTCGCATTCTTTGTTGAAAAATTTCAGAAGCATAATTTAATATTCCAATATCCATTTTGACATCCAGCGTGCTAAAAGCAGCTGCATCCGTTAACTTACTTGTAATTTCCTCAAATGTTTGCATGCGAAAATGTTGCATCATAATAACTTGATTAAGATCTTTAGGATCTATACATAATCTCAAATCTCCATTCGGTTTGTAAACATTTACTAAAGAATTCACTCAGCTGGATGCGTTACATGTACAATAACATTATGTTGCTTCATTTCGTTAAGTTTTTCTTTTAAACTAAAGGTACTTTTCTACATGCATGTATGACAGGCACATAATTTTCTTTGATTTTAATATCATACTCCCCCCCCCCTTATACAACCTAAACCTTGAAAAATATCTTTATATTCCCGTAAAAAATAATTTTTTTCATTTATTTTACACACAGGTTACACAAATTGCATATCAATAGCCGATTTTAATGTCAATATATTAGTATAGTGTCCAGAAACAACGTAAAAGTTAAGATTAAGTATTTTGTCATTGTTATTACAAAAGATCTATCTGTTAAAACATTTGTCTGTGCTCCAGTGTCCACTATAACCTGCAAAGGAAAATTATTAACTCCTAAGGTTATAGACAAGTCACGTGTATTATTAATCGAGTTTATACCGTATCGAGTTGTAACCGTACCTAGAAAAAGAGTATCAATATCATTTCATTCATTATTACATTCGGTTACTTCTCTTATGCTCTGACACTTTGCAGAAAAATGATTTAAGTTTCCACATTTTAAACATATTTTTCAGAAAGCCGGACATTTAGATCTTTCATGCGAGTAACCACATTTCTTGCAAATGAATTGATTGTGTTCATTTTGCTGCATCAATACGGAGTTACATTATATTTCTACGTCTGTGCGTCTCATATTGTTCGAATTTCTTTTATAAATTTTGTCAACTTTAGATGAAAAACCATGTGAAACTAAATTGAATGTAAATGAAGATGACATAGCTTCAACTTGTTGTTTTGACCGTTGCGAAGTACAACATATTTCAAGTGCTATAGTTAACGTTAAATTTTTCATACGACAGCTTAACAGCTATTTCGGAAAACACACAAACAAGTCTGTCTTTAATTAAACTATCAGTTAGCGATCCAAACTCACAAGATGCGCTTAGGTCTCGTAATACCATCACATAATTTTCACTCTCCATCATTTTGATTACGGGTGAAAAACAAAAACCGCTCATGTCACAATTTTTTCAGGGCAGAAATATTGATTAAATTTCTGGAGAACTGTGGCATATCTTTTCTTATCTTCTTCGTTTTCAAATACCAATGTGTTGTAGAGTTTCAATGCACGATCACCTAAAGCACTTAATAGTAATGCTGTTATTATTTCATCATCATTTACGCAATTCCCCGATGCCAGTAAATAGGTATATTTCAAATTTTTGTTAATGATCCCAAGATAATGGTGAAGGAAGTACGATATTCAGTGGTAATCGAGCTTTTATTTTTTCTTCGGCCTGAAGCATAGAATGAGCATTCTTTGAAAATTTTTAATAGAAAATTTTCAGAAAACTCACTATATAACTATTTTTACTTATATTATTAATTCACAACTTCATTAAATATACTAAATTATCTCATTACCGACTGCGCCATGTTAAAATTATTGATTTAATATAAAAAATACGGTAAATAAAACCATTGAGTTTTATACGACCTTGTCAAGTGACATATATATATATATATATATATATATATATATATATAACATAAATCAATAACTAAACAGCTACAATACAACAGCTCCTATTCTAAGACACACCATGTTAAATATTTTTATTTACATAGATATTTATCATTTTTAGTGTTACCTATTATATAAAGAATATTAAGTAAGTAAATATATAAGTTTGAAGTCAGTATATTAAAACTGACTTCAAACTTTAAAAAAGTCATAAATAATACTTGCTATTGAAGTCGGGCGCCTATCATTTAATTATTAACCAACAGAAAACCTCCACTCGACTTTAATAGTATTTTCTTGAATAAGCGCTTTTGAGATAAGTATTTTTATTACTTGTTTGAAGTATGAAGTTAGTTTTAATTTTATATAAAAAGTTTTTATATTTTATGATACAAACAAATATGTCATCTAAGTATTTTTTAAATCGTTTCCAGATAGTTTGTAATAGAAACAAAACTTTAAATCCAATTTCGATAAAAATTGTATGGGAGCACCGAGGCCCAAAGCTTTCGAATAAAAAAATAATTATGAAAATCGATCTACTACCTGTGCGGTTTATAATTCACGGATAAATCGGTAACCACTAAATTTTCTATTTTTACTAGAATTTTTATATCTTATAATTTTTTTATGTAAATTGTGTAACTTATTACAATTATTTCTATAAAATAAAAAATCATTTTATTAAAATACTTTTATTGTCTGCTCAAATCCTAAAAGCTCAATATAATATGCATGTAGAAGGCAATTACGTAATTTTCTGATACGAACACTATTCTTTACGAACAATAGGTAAGTATATAATCAACGATAATTTATAAAAAATACTGCACACCTACGTTATTATAAAATAGGTAATATTTAAAAGCTTTATATTGTAATCAATATATAATCAAGTTGACGGTACGTGCTTATGTCATATGACATATCTCATACTTTTTTGTACTTAGTTTTTTTTATTATTTCTTTTGTTAATAATATTTGTGCTAATAAACTTAGATGGTATATTTGGTAACACTTCTATTCTATTTTATAGAAATAATGGGCACATTAGGGTAAATACATAATGTTTGTAAATAAAACAACTTTTAATTTTATAATATTTATGGAATGCAATGGATCCGGTTCCGAAATAAAATCAACACCGGCTTCCACCGGTAATGGTATTCTCGAGAGGCATGTAGATATTTTTCTTTATTAGACTTCTTAATATATTTTTACAGGTTTCTGGATTGCAGAAAAGCGAAATAAGAAAATGACGTTTTCATTATCTGCAACGTAATTTGAACCAAATTAATTCAAATCAACAGTTCGGTGGCGTAGTGGATAAGCGCCGCGGCCCGCGATCGTTGTCGTTAAACAACTTTTGCAAGGGTCGGTCACGGGAAGGGTGACCAAAAATTATTATCTCAAGCTACTCCGTGCTTCGGAAGGCACGTCAAGCCGTTGGTCCCGGCTGCATTTGCAGTCGTTAATACCCTCCATTCCGCATTGGGCCAGCGTGGAGGGTCATGGCCCATCCTCCTTAACCATCCATAAGGAAGGCCTGAGCCCCTGCAGTGGGGACGTAAAAGGGCTGATGATGATGATATGTATTGGCCAACTACACAAATAGGTATTATAATAAAAGATCTTAGTAATTTCTGAATACAAGATAATGCCATTACAAAATGTAACTTTGAATATTGAAAAATGTGGCAATTAATCCAAAATAAAAATTTATAGTTAGGTATATTAATGTTGAAAAAATGGCGTTAGAAATGGATTCTATTTTTGTCAGGTAGTTTACTCATACATAATTATTTATTATACATTTGCTTTGCTAAGAACTTGAATCTCAAATGAGCTAATTTGGATAGATAAATCAAAAACATCTGTCTGATATATAGGTCTGTAGCATTAGAAACTAAGCGCTACTGACGTTGACCATCGTTTGTACACCGACACTGGTCATTCCCATGGCTGTGACCTGGATTGACGTTTGTGAACGTCGTAGAAATATGCACACTGATCGCTGGTTACTCTGGTCCATACTCTCCCAAGGCATTTCGTACACGGCGTCTCGCAATTTGTCGCTCTGAAAGAAAAGATGAAAACAGAAAATAATGGCAATAGTCTGTCGTTGAAGTAACATTTTTCGGAAAAATGTTTTTTTCTTTTATTTTTACCTTCGTCTCCACGATTTCAAATACAACAGATACGGAAATGAGCTGCCCGAATATTATAACTGTAAGCGGACCGTAGCGAGCTAAAGCATCAGGTTCCTGCAATTTTAAGTTTTAATGAGTAATATTTTCATACAAATTAAGAGTCAGAAGAATGAATTTATCATTTAATGACAGGATAGATAACCTTTTGTGAGCATTCCAGAAGTAAAAGACAACAACTAATTAAATGATATATATAATTTAGAGCAAGCATTGGTCCGTAAAAGTTTGAAACGTCATCTGCAAAGCTGTAAAAAAAATAAGGCAACATCAATTAAGATTTAATGTATAGATTAGATGTTATTTATAATAGTTTCTAATATGCGTTATTGAATGAATACATGATTGAGATTTTCACAAATATCCAGACTGCTTTGGGCACATGCTCATTCTCGCGTATCCTTTACGATAACCCCTATGGTATACAACGCACTATCCCTGCCACATGACGTAATAGCATTTGAGCGTTTACCAGAACTAACAACCATATTTAAATTAAAACACTGAATGTTTATTAAAGATTTGTTACAAGTTTATGTTCGACTATAAACCTGATCTTAAGTTACCATTATGGTAAGATTAACTTAAATTATTATAATACACCCGTCTAATCTTACATTCAATGTTTTTGTTCATGTTAACACTGGCATCACGCAAATTGTGAATTTCAATATATTATGTTAATTTATATGAAAACAGCTAGTCGTAAATAAGATATATCGCTTTACAAAGCTGATAATCGATATTTTAGTTCTTAAGTAAATCGAAAAGATATTTTGCTAATTAAAAAATAATACTGATAATATATTACATCAGCATAGACCGCCTAATTCCGTGAAGCGTGTTCCTACTAAGTGATTTGTGATGGTGGTTCCTTGTATAACTTACTATAGCCAATACTCTGCTGAAATATAGAGAACATCAGATACATAGCTAAATCTTTTCACTTGCCCTAGGAATAGACTAAGTGTGTGAACAGAAAAAAAATTGATAGGCAAAAGTACACACAATATGTCAAATTATTGCAATGAATTATAAGTTTTATTTTATTGAAGCTCTATGTTGTCGCAGCGTTATGTTCTGCGTCAAGGTCGACGCTTTTTTAACACAATAACATAACAGTAATGTTAACTCACAAAAAAAAAAATATTAACTTACTTCAATATCAGTCGATGGTGATCAACACATTCTGAGATTTTTTTCCGAATCAAATTGTTCTCTTCAGCGTCAAAGCGATTCGTCCTTTGATTTTTAGGTTTAGGAAAGTGTTCCAGATTGTATTTCAAAATTTGAATGTGGCCAATTATTTGGAAAACAAGAAACGATAAATATAAATCTTTAACACATACATTGACTGAAACGTCGTAGCTCATGATCCAGTTAAGTATTGTCGTCAATGTAAAGTGGTCATAAAAACTAAATCCTGGTAGCATGTAATTCACGGAGTAAGCATATGTTGTGTTTTCAGGTGTGTTTTTAGAAAATACACCATTTTTGTAATTACTGTACAATGGAGTTAGGTTAAATAAAACCATCCCTCCTATCATCATATTAATCATAAGCACAGTGTATAATCTCGAGAAGAGGTCTACGGTTTCGTACATCTGAAAAGGTGAAAGTTAAATTTTGATAAATAAAAAATGCTATTTAAATACCTATATATTAGTAAATTTTTTGTTCGGTATTTTTGGGTTGGTTAGGTCATTTTATCGCCCCAGAAACCCCTCGCGTACTGTATTCTATGAAAATGAATTGCTCGTTTAAAGGTGTTAGATAGAGAGATTAGATAGTTAACATTTTCCATTCAGTATTTTTTTAATTCAATATTTCACCGTAGAATTTGTCAACAACAACAGTGAATTTTCCTGGTTGATGAAAGCACGCATTTGTTAATTAAATTGTATAATGTGGGAAATTCAATTCTTAACTATCAAAAACTCAAGTTTTTCAAAACTTAATATATTTGGAATCATATAAACAAATGCAAAAGTTTGCTAATTTAATCCGAAAATTAATGAAAAAGACCACAAACCGTTTCAAAATGACCACCTTTGTGTTTAAAATGGATTAAATGGAATTCTGATATGAAATTATTCGCTATAAGTGCATGTTTCTTGAACCACGGCATTATGCGTCGAACCTGTAAAGACAGTAAAATAACCAAAAACTAATTGATTCTGGAGCTCGAGTTAATAAATTTTTGGTCACCCATCCTATGGCCGTTCCTTGTGAAAGTTGCTTAACAATCACATCGCAGACCGAGCGCGCTAACCACTGAGCCATCGAGTAGAGTTGGGTTAACGAATGTTTATTTCCAATTTATCTCTAACTTACTATAAAGACTAATGATTTCTTATAATAGATTTCCGATTTTAAAGAAGTGACAAATATACTCATCTTTAAAACGGATCTCTTATGCATGAAACTTCTATTGAAGTCGGGGGACAAATATCTGTAGGTTATTATTAAATAATAACTTTCCCGACTTTAGTCGCAGTTTTTATTTGAACAGCTTTTAAGATAAGTATTATTTCTCGTTTCTTCAAAGTTTTAAGTCAGTTCTATTTTTTTAACACAAAAAATATTTTATATGATAATTAATGGCAAAATAACGAAAAAATTAAAGAAGATTTTTTTTATTTACACGACAAAATATTTTTTTTGCTCTACGCATTTGAAAGCAAACCCGTTGAACATTTCTTTTTCGATTTTGACACTGCTAATCAGATTTAGAATAATTTTTCTTTAGATTAAAACCTTTCTCTTGCAAATAAAAATAAAATGGTCCATTATAAAATACCAATAATTATTGGTGTATTACGTTTGTTCCCGCCTTTTACGCCACGAGCATGCGCGGGTCCGTAAACGTAGAGTAAGAGCGATGACCTAAGTACATGCCTATCTCTAGTGTCGTCTTAGTATTCTTTTGGTATTTGGCAGAATGCTTCCAGTTATCTTTCTATACTGATATTATAAAGAAGAAAGATTCGACTGTTTGTTTTTTACATCAAATATTAGGCTCCGAAACTACTAGATCTATTTAAAAAAATAAAATAAAGAAAACATTAAACCCGACTTCGTAAAAACGAATTTAAAAAAATACATGATAAAATTAACTTAAATAAAAACTCAAAAGAAAAAAACAAGCCCAGTAGTTTAGAATTCTGTTAAATAATACTAAATAACTACACAATTGAAATAGTTTTATAATCGATACACACATAAAACAAATCATAAATTCTAATGCAGAACAGAATGACTCATAGTCGGGGCCCATTGGAAAGATTTGATTGGTAAAATTTGTACGGGATGATTCAAGAGGATGGTTTTTATATGTCTAATACAAACCACGCAGGCGAATTAGCCGGTGGAAGGCTAATTTTGTATAAACCAAAAGTCATAATCCGATTTCGAAAAATAACTATGGATCACCTCAGACGGTAAAGCTATCTTATAAAAAATAATTTTTGTAATCGTTGAACATAAGTACTTAAAGTAAATACCGGTAGAACAGAACTCCCCCTTTATTTTTCTTGTTTAAAACTAAGTTAAAATCTCAAAATTGAAATTTACTTACATTTATGACAATAGCTAAAAACAATGTTATGTACACATCCCCTATCATAAAAAAAGATACAACATTAAATGTTTGTACTATGAAGTTGATTGAGCCTAAGCAGATAGTTACTCCAAGGGTTAATAACAAGCATCGATAGTATTCTTGAATATGTATATAAGCTTCCCCGTCTATATTTGGCCACACACCAACAGTGATAAGAAAGATGCGGCAAATCTGCATATATCTTAGAGACATCGGCGTAAGTTTTCTGTAAAAATAAAAGACGAACATTAAAACAAATATCATCGCATCGTAAGCAGACCTCAGTTAGTAGGAAAGTATACGAAACGTGGTCGGTACAAATTAATGTACAACTACAGTCATACTCTGAGGTGCTGTCATACTGTGAACGATATGCTGCACCCATAAGTAAGAATTTGTTAACAATGGAAATATACCCAAGTAACATTATTTTCTATAACTACGACCTTTATGTATGGTATGGTAAATACAGTGATAAAAAAGATATATAATAGTAACCATTGTGACTGGTTGTACTATAATGGTTTTCAATATTCATAATGAAAAATGCTTAAAAATCCACTTTGCCGCTGGCAGTCTGAGATGGAACTCAAACCCATAACCTTTCGCAATCCGGACGATTGCTCTAACCACTGAGCTCCCCAGGACCTAACAGATCTGACGAATTTTTCAAATACTTGTTTCTTTTTCGCAACTACAAAGCGTATTTTCATTTGTGTTCAGGTAATCCACCCAAATAGCCGAAAGAAATATTTTTACAAATATTTAAACAATTTTGTCCCTGGCACTCTGAGATTAGACTCGAACCTTTCGCAATTAGGGCATTTCATTGCATTTCATAATGGGACGAAATACCCTTATAAGTGGCATGAATGCGAAAAACGAAACTCGTTTTTCAAACTATCTACAACAGTTTTATTAAATCAGGGACTTATTACTGATTACTTGCACTGATTCCTAAATATATTTTGTTAGTGGTTGTTAGAGTGCGTCTGAATGAAAAGTTCGTTATATGTGTGCTAATGTAATTTATTATGCTTTATTAGCTTCAACCTCCGGTATGTGACGATATTTCAACAACATTCAATTTTGATTTAGGCTATATTAAATGTATCAAACCAATCAGTACATTTTTATTAGGTAAACTATAATTTCTTCATAATTTTAAAACACCTAAGCTTTTAGGTGTGTTCCTGAGTGCATTGAAATTTAACATTATATGGGCATTTGAAAGTACCCATAAATTGTTAGCAACCCAAAACTAAATATCAAATTTGCTACTTTTGCGCTTTTTGTAGCTTTACTATTTAATTTTCTATGCAAAATTAATTATTTCGATTTAGGTTCGAGTTCAAATACATTATTGATTTCAAGAAATGAACTTGTTAGTATTATGCGATGTTCAGAGGAAAGAAATGTCGAAAAACAGTTTAATGATTTGGCTGTCGAACCGCAAAAATGTATAAAATCTGATTTAAAAAACTTTATTAATCTAAAGCAGAAGTTATTGAAATTTAAATTCAAATATAGGTCAAGATGTTCAAAAGCATGTATGACTAAGGATAAATTTAAACAAAATAACAATGAGTGGCTATTTTCGAGGATGAAAACTTGGAGAAAAAGCGCGGTCGACCGCAAATTCCATTTGAATTGTCATCTGAACGTACAAAACAAGCCAAGCTTCCAAAGTTTTAAAAGATGTTGCAAAAGTTTATAAAGAAACGTGTACATAGCCGCCCAAAAAGCAGCTGTTTTCAATGTGACAGCTGCAAAATTTTTTTGGGATCAATATATATTGTAATAAGGAAATATGCTCCGAATAAATTCCCTTCCGACAAGCAGCATAAAAAATATGTTAACCTAAAGATGTTACAGCAAATAAAAGCAATGCTTCTATCCCGCTGCAAGCTTTTTTAGATCATACTACGGAACGGTTGTGTCAAACATAGGCACTTGTCATCAAATCTG